AACGTTGTCACCCTCTTTTATATACCAGACTACCCTATATGTAGTAAATACTAGAGCATTCGCCAAGGTACGGGATAGTTCTAGAAACGTGGCGTCACACTAGTCGTGTGACTCGCTGACACAACAATATGTGCATATTGGTATGGAAATACAAATTAAAATTGGGTTACAGAGAATGTCATGAATAATTTTATAAAAAAATCAGTTTAATATAATGTGTTTGTTTGAGCACCACCGAGGTGGTTCAAAAGTATGAGATAACTTTACTCAGTTACAATTCAAAACAATTTGTCAGGATTCAAAGAAAGCAGTATTCACATATATATTTTAAGCTTGAGTTTCAAGGCAATTTATTCCCCATTAATCCTATGCATATGGGTGGGGTATAAAGGCACACAAACCATGACCTTTTACAAAGCACCATTCAACATGACATTATGTATTTGATGTCAGAGTTATCAACTCTTCATTTTACCCTACACTGCTGATTTAGTGACAGTTCATGGTAGAGGAGAGTAAATACTAGATACAATATACAGGAATATGGAAAAAAACCCTGTAGATATGCGTTCTAGAGGTTATGCCAACTATACAATGGACAAAAGTATCTTTATTCTTCACATGAACATCACCTTGCACTCCAGCTTGTCAGAATCTGAGTGAGTCATCAATTCACAGACATATCTTGACACAAATACCTTTGTAACTCATACAATTTTTTGTATACAACAGACTTGTACATTTTAATAAAAGGTTGCTATATTAAATGTAGATATGTTTAGTAAATTTGAATTATAGTCAATGTTCCTTCTCCAATAGGGGGTCAGTTCAACAAACCAAGCCTCTCCACCTTTTGTGAAAGTTCCTTAGCAGTAAGGTAGAAAGTAATCTTAGTTATATTCATATCAAAGAAAGAATTCTCATCTCAAATATTCTTGGAATTATGCACTGTATAGCCACATGATGGTTACTCTTTAATATTTATCAAGTGTCTTCAAAACAATTTTTTCTTTTAGACAAAACAGAAATTTCTTAATTTTACACACACGCACACACAAACAGCTTTTAAGACTAATACATCTTGTTATTTACTACTTTGAAACAAAAAACATCAATGTTTTTTAACTGCAAAGAAGCATTAATATTTAATTTTTCTAAATCTAGGCTAATACACTGTATCTCTATATACAAGTATAAAAATACAAAGTAAAACATCCACACAACATACAATTTTATCTTTTCCATAGATCTTCTCAAGCTGCTGGGCTACTTCAAGAGTCCCATCTGGACTTCCATCATCAATGATAATTATTTCAAAGTCATATCCACTATGGGAAGAAACATTTGAAAATTCTTAAAAGAAAATCATAAATGAACTGTTTATTTTCTTTTTTTAAATTTATTTAAATTTAATTTCTAATACCATATTAAAGATGGGTGTTCATGATTTATGGTAAGAATATAAGGGTCTATACTTTACAGCACATTCCTCCATTACTAAAGGTGTTTATGTGAGGGTTCTGGAATATAGGCCACTGTCCTGCATCACAAAGGCTTTTATGCAATACACTGATGTTAATGCCCCCCCCCCAAAAAAAGTTCTTTTCAAGGCCCGAGGGCACAGATATCCATGGGAGATATCTGCAAATTATATAGTACCTTATTAATGATATCTAGGGAAGTTACTGCTTTAGCTCAGCTGGTACAGTAGAGGATATGTGTGTATGAAAGAGTCTCAGGTTTTTATCCCACATGCAGGTTATGCAAAAACGAGGTTATCACAGATCCATACCTTACTAGCATCCAATCCATACAAAGATGCTACTTCTTCAAGACAGAGCAATGTTAACAAATTAGTTTGATAATATGGCAAGTTCACTTTCGCATCTTTATTCACTCTCTGTATGATTAACTTACCATCATATCTGTAACTTGTGACCACCAGAAATCCAATTAAAAAATTTCACAACATGCTCTGTACAATTTTTGAAATGTGTTATTGGAAGGATGATAATAAATTGTTTGAATCTGGCAGACACTTTAACAGACATATGCTTTGTCTAATGTCATGTCATACTTCCATTTGCCACATGTCCAATACTGCTTATACAGCTTTGAACAGTTGGTTTTTCATTCTCCTGCATGCTTTCAGAAAACCATTTAGTTCACATCATAACAGTTGTTGTTTAGCAAGTTACTGACATAAATAGCACCTAGACTACTACTGTCTATTGTGTCCCAGCCAGCCTGATAAGCCCTGATATTGATTGAAAGGCCACATTGGCATTGGATATGGCAGATGTAGTGTGTTGACATAACATATTCTACTTATCTTTCACTCATACATTTTCAGGATTATTAAACAGCTTTAAAAGCAGTACATTTGGATTAAAGTAAAAACCATGTTCATAAAAGGGTTTATTTCTATTAATGGTCTTGCAAAGAGAGACCATGTACAGATTAACAGAAAGTTTTTAAAGCAGAACACCTCTACTAATCATCTATCTAGATGTAGTTGAACACGAGGTTATATACGTAATCTATAAGTAGAAAATTACTGCTGATCTTATTAAAGTTAGTAAAGGATTTCACACATCAAATAATTATCTTGCTTAAGTTGATCATCAAACCCAAATCTGTAATAGGTTTCAATTAAAAAAAAATTAAATCCTGATTTGATTAGTAGAATAGCTCTTCATCTTCTAAACATAGATAAATGAAAGCATACAGAGAAATAGTAATGTATTTCACCTGAAAAATGCCTGTATGAGCCATCTCACAAAATGAAATACAATAAACACATATTAGTCAAAGATTACAATAGAACATCATTAATAATTATTAAGCCATAGGAATTAAAATCCACATTAGTAAAAAACCTTTATAAGTCATCTTGCAACCAAACAGATGAGTATAACAGGGTTATAAATTACATTTTTAAGTGGGAACTTGCTATCTGCCTGAAATTTGGTAGCAAATTGATCTTGTTCACTAGTTTTTTACATGTATGAAAATATGTAAAGAAAAGTAAATTTTAACTGCTGTTTTAAAGGATTGAATAACTCACATTACTCCATAGTAAATGTATTTTCCTGAAACCATCTTGTGCCTGTTTGTGAATGTGGTACAATAATTTTTACATTTAAACTTACTACAAATATTGATTAAGCCTATAATATTTACAATTCTTTTTTCACATTAAAAAGAATAAAAGCTATATTGAATATTGCTGATGAAATACAATATTCTATCAACTCTGATTTGATCTGGTTCTATTTTTCAAACTTTGAGTAATTCAAATGCAACGTCTTGCCCCAGTCTCCTTAATTCTTGATCATCTTAACTTGCAACTAAGCTATTTAAAACAAAGCAAAAAAAACAAAAACATCTCATTCTAGTACAGTACCACTAGATTTAAAAGCTTTGTGCAACTTTGTGTTATACTAAGCTATACATGTTCATAAAGGCCTGAAAATTAATCAATAGTAACAGTACTTGAAATTTGTCTAATTAAGCTAAAATGTGCTGTTAAATTCATATATATTAATCCTTTACCCTGCCTTTTCACTCCTTTCCTCTAGCAGTTACTTCAAACTTTTCATCATTTTAAGGAAATATACTGATACAATTTTAATGGTGTGTAGTATGAAGTATCAGTCAAATAAGGTATATTAGCCAGATTGAAAGAAGTTGGTTTTATTTTACAAAATATTCTCTTGTTATATTATGTACCTGCATGAATGTGCATTATAATGTTTGTAGTGTATTTTCTGAAAGTGAATTTCACTTGTCAAAAAACAAAATCAGTATGCAGTTAAGGTGGTAGAATGTATGACCAAAACCAAAATATAAAAAATAACCAGAATTCAATGCATTTCCCAAAATCTCATTATTTACTTCTTTTTCTTAATATATACAGTAGAACCCCTGATATTGTGCGAATTCAGATATAACACAGTCAATGTTTGGTTTCAAATTTTCTAGCACTTACAGCCAGAAGTCAGCAGGAATGAGACAATCAATGTTAGATGATTTTTGAAATAATAAACAAGAGATTTTTGAGATACTTTACATGTTATTACAGTTTTTTTATGTAACTTTGTGTTTTGTGTTTGATTTCTATTCTCTAAAGTTAAGGCTATGAAATGTTAGCAATGTTCAGCACTTTATTTTCAATCACCACATGTTCATCCATGCAAAACAATAAATGTCATACTGCACTTAACCATGTCAAATAAATAAGAAAACATGTCATGTACTGATTAATAATAATGCAAGGGATATGGAAAATGACCATTTGTGGGTGCCCCAAAATAACAAAACCCTACATTTAACGAGATCACATTTCGTGGACCCCAACTATCGTGTTATAATGGGGTTTCACTATATTTTACTTAGATCATGTTGCTAACTTGCTCCAGTGTATTTTTTTCTGCAGTAAGAATTCTGATAAAGTAATGTCTAGTTACCTGATTAATGTATATTTATTTTTAGCCTGGCTGGAAGCAGGAATCAGTATATGTATTATGAATTTTAACACAATAATCTAATTTTACCTTTGATCTATAAAATAAACTTAATATCTTCAAATTTTATATACATTACCAGTGCACTGCAAATGTGAGCCTCTTGGGTGTCTCAGTGGGGTGGACTAAACTATGAATTGTTGCCCACTAATCAGGAAGCTCTATTAGCAATGAATTTCTGCTATTTAAAAAAAGGTATGCATTTGCACATGTTGTATTTAAGGTATGAGTAAAATGCTACTGTATTGCATAAATAGCAACAAAATACTAGTTTTAGGTAGAAAAATGCTACCAGATGTAGGTTAACTTTGAACTGTGGAATAAACCCTTTATAACAGCATATCTTGATCATTTAACTACAGGTCTGAAAACTGTGGTCATCAATTAGCCATTTGCAGGCTATTAGTTTATAATGGTTGAAAACAAAATTGCCAATTGTGGTAAGTTGTAGCTATATCTAGGGTGTGTATTTTATCATATGTTAGGGCAAAGTTTAGCCTTTTACTTAGTACACTTTTTTCATGTTCTGCTAATGGTTGTTATTACTGTGCATTTAGATGTGTACATAACATGGCAAAAATTGTAAGGGCAACATAGGATCTGTTGATCCAAATAGACTGTCCCATCCACAAAACTAAACTTAAAAAACCCTCAATGCCAGCCCTTATCATTCAAATATTTATCGAGTCTTGAAACTTGAACTGTTACAGCATCCATCACATATGAAGGTAGCCCCACTCCAAAGACCAACCACCCTGTTGGAAAATAAAACTGCACTAACTCTGTCAAAATGTATATTGTTCCCCCTAATTTTACCCTTCTCATCAATTAAGTATGAAATATAAATGATGCAGTGACACTCAATTTCCATAAAAATCTTAAACACCTCAATCAGATACTCTGTAATTCTTCTTTTTTAAGAGAAAACAGTTTTAGAGATTTTAAACTGTTCTCATATTACAAACTTTCCATCCCAGGTATCATCCCACTAGCCCCCATAAGAACCATTTCCAATAATTCTACATTCTTCTTAAGCTGTTAAGATAAGGACACCAAGACTGAATCCAATACTCCAAACCAGTGACCGATACAATGGGATGTGACAAGAGTTACCTGTTGTGAATTGGGCAGGAGAGTTATTTGGAGACACTGATCAGATGTGGAAAATTTTTAAAGATATATTTTTAAATATTCAATGTAAACATATTCCTAATAGAAAGAAAGGGTAGCTACAAGTGAAAAACCAGGTTGGCTCACAAAGAGTTTAAAAAATAAAATTAAAGAAAAGCATCATAAATTTAAGAACTTTAAATTGACTGGTATGACAGGAGACTTAGAAGATCAAGAAAGTTGGTGAAACAGGAAATTAGGACATCAAAAAGGATGTATGAGAAACAGTTGGCTGAAAATTTAAAAATTAACAGTAAGGATTTCTTTAAATACATTAAAAAAGAAAATTTTAGGATAGGGATAGGACCCTTGAGGGATGATAAAGGGAGGCTAGTATCTGATGATTATGAGATGGCTGGGTTATTAAATTTTTCTTGTTATTCGGTTTTTTTACTAATGAAGATTTAAGCAGTATTCCACATCTTGATCAGTTGATAAATGGAAACGAGATCAAACAAGATGACTGCATTAATTCTGAGCTGGTTAAGAAAAAATTGGGAAGTTTTAAAAATGATAAGGCTCCTGGGACATTAGCTAACTTTCAATCTCTGGTACTTGCCCACTATTCAAGGACTGACAAAAAATAGTAGCAAGTGGCTCACATATCCAATCTTTAACCTCCTTCAAAACCCTTGGGGAAATATTATCTGGAACTCCTCTTTTCAAGATAGGTGATAAAAAATTATCCCAGTAATTATACACCCATTAGTCTTACATCAGTTGTGGGAAAAGGTTTGGAAAGTCTGTTAAAAGATACTTTGCAAAGTCATTTAACAAAGTTTAGAATTCTATTTGATAGTCAACATGGTTTCACTAAGGGAAAATCTTGCCAAACAAATCTTTTAACATTCTTTGAAAAGGTTACTGCTTAT